AGGATGGCAGCCCCTTTGTCACCTCCTTAACCCTGGGTTTGGCAGAGGGAGGAGGTGCTGGGGACATGTTGGGATTGCTCACCACAGCTCAGGGATGGCTTCTGGTGCTTTCCTTACAAAGGAAGATGCAGACCAGAAAAAGCACAGGTATTACTGGTAACCTTGAGGGCAAAACTGCTTAATTTTCCACTAAAGACATCCAATAAGGGCACAACATCTGAATTTGCTGTGCGACAAGCTGAAAAGTCTATTGGGTTTTTGGATGTTTCCTCTTAGACTTGACTTCAAATACTGGTTTAGGCTGACTTTGGGCAGAAACACTAGAGGATTAATGAATTATTCAATTCCTCCTCAGGGTCTCTGCAAGCTGGGCTCAGCAGGAGGGACAGACTATGGGCTGCGGCAATTTGCTGAGGGCTCCACGGAGAAGCTTGCCAGGCAGTGCCGAAAGTGAGTTGTACCTTGGCTTTAGTTCTGTTATTCCCGACTTTGCAAAGCATAACTATGTGCTCCTCCCTGGCTTCATTCCCTGCTGCGGAAATGCCTGCAGGGAGAATCATAGAATCAAAGAATCATTAGGGTTGGAGAAGACCTCTAAGATCCCTACGTTCAAACCTAACCCACCATGCCCACTGACCACGTCCCTCAGTGCCACACCTCCACAGTTCTTGAATGCCTCCACGGATGGTGACTCCTCCACCCCTTTCCCAGGCAGCCTGTGCCACTGCATTACCACTCTTTTGAAGAAGTTTTCTCTAATATCCAACCTGAAAACCTCCCCTGGAGCAATATGAGGCCATTCCCTCTTGTCCTTTTGAAAGAAAAGTTCTTGTCCCGAGGCACCCATAGGGAGTTGTAGTAGAACTCAAGTGCAGGCTCAAGCCTGAAATGTTCTCAGCACATTTGTTCTTCCTTCCTTCTTTCCAAAGAAATCAGTCCTGGCTCCTGAGATAAACGTAGATTTCTCTCTTCCAGGTGGTTGTGCAACACCAGCATTGATGCCCGCACCAGGAAGTGGGCTGTGGAAGGACTGGCATATCTGACCCTGGATGCAGATGTGAAAGATGACTTTGTGGAAGATGAGCAAGCCCTGCAAGCTATGTTTGAGTTAGCCAAGGTTCTACCCCCTTACAGTGTTCTCTCATCCCTCTTGTAGCAGCTCTCTAGAGTAACACTATCACCCTAAGCAGGAGCAGTTCTGACTGCAAACCCTCACCTCTAGTTTAGAAGTTCAGTTTTGTATGTGCTGCTGAGATACCCAAAACTTGTTATCAACAGATAAGAGCAGAAGTTTGCTCTTAACCTTTACTGTCAGGGACTGTAATAGGTGTTACCACATGAAAACCAAAGGCATCAAGGTTCTGACACCATCTGATGGGACTGTGTCCTGTTTGACCATAAACTTCAGTTTTTCCCTCATCTGGGAGTAAGCCAGAGAGCACTTCAACTAGGACTTTTATTTCTCTGTGCAGACAAGTGACAAGACTATCCTGTATTCTGTGGCTTCTGCGCTGGTGAACTGCACCAACAGCTATGATACAAAGGAGCTGGTCCCAGAGCTGGTGCAACTGGCCAAATTCTCCAAGCAACATGTGCCTGAGGAGCATCCCAAGGTAGGCTGTGTGTGGCCAGGAGGGGCTCAGGTCTGAAGATTTTAAATGTTAGGTGAAAGTTCCTTACTCAGAGGGGGGCGATGCACTGAACAGGCTGTCCAGAGAGCTGTGGGTGCCCCATCCCAGGAGATGCTAAGGCCAGGCTGGATGCAGCTCTGGGCAGATGAGCTGGTAGGGGGCAGCGAGCCCACGGGGGATTGGAACTATGTGATATTGAAGGTCCCTTCCCAATCCATTCTGTGATGATTTTCTTTGGTGTATTCATCATCACAGCCACCAGGTCTCTTGGTTCCCAGCCTATCAGGCTGAAACTGCTTTGTTCCCCAGCAGGATGGCAGCTGCTAGAGGCTAATCCGTTCCCATGTCCTCCCCTCTGCAGGACAAGAAGGATTTTGTCGTGAAGCGAGTGAAGCGGCTGCTAAAAGCTGGCGTTGTCTCGGCCTTGGCCTGCATGGTGAAAGCTGACAGTGCCATACTGACAGACCAGAGCAAGGAGCTCATCGCCAGGTGCCTGCTGGGCTGCTGGGCTTTGCCTGGGATAGAGTTAATTGCAAAGCCTTTGTCCTGTCCCGTGAGGGAGGGGGGTTATTGCTGCTCCAGTGAGCGGTGCTGTGTTTTTGCAGGGTGTTCCTCGCGTTGTGTGATGACCCCAAGGACCGTGGGACCATCGTTGCTCAAGGTGGTGGAAAGGTGATTCCTCTTCTACCTGCAGCCCAGCCTGACGTGCAGTAAATGTCTGTTGGGATCCTGCAGTGAGGGGAGGTGGCATTTAATGCTATCCTGTGTGTTAGGCCCTGATACCTCTGGCTATGGAAGGCACAGATGTTGGCAAGATAAAAGCTTCTCATGCCCTGGCAAAAATTGCTGCTATCTCCAATCCAGACATAGCGTTCCCAGGAGAGAGGGTGAGTTTTAAAATAAAAAAGAGAGGTGAGAAACCACCTGTTTTGTTACTTTTCTTTTTTCAAATGAAAATCACCAATATCATTCAAATGAATATCACCAATATGGAAAAGTAGTGATACCTCTTGTTCTCAGGTGTACGAGGTGGTGAGACCCCTCGTCAGCTTGCTGAACACCGAGAGAGATGGCCTCCAGAACTATGAGGCTCTCCTGGGACTCACTAATTTTTCAGGAAGAAGTGATAAGCTTAGGTGAGTGCTGCTGCTTTTTGGGCTTCTTCCCCGCCCAGCTGCTTTATCAGGAGTGAATCTGAATTTTACTTCAATGATTTTCTCATAGATTTGGGAAGAGTGGTTAATTTGAGCTGCCTCTGCCTTTTTGTTCAGGTCTCTGAACAAAAAGATTCATAAAATACCCAGTAAGAAGTGTTTTTCCTCTGGAAAGGGGAAAAATAGCGTGAATTCAATTTGCATTAGGCAAGGAATAAACCACATATCATGAGTCCTTGTGCTGTGGGCAGACTTATTTTGAGCCCCCCACATCTCTCATCTGTCTGCAGTTAATGTTTTAGGTTGATTACAGGAAAAGAGAAAATGATTTCAAACTAACGTAGGGCAGATTTAGGTTGGATGTAATGAAGAAGTTTTTACAATGAAGGTGGTGAGGCACCACATCGGCTGCTGAGAGTAGGACTGATGCCAGTCCCTGCAGACCCCCAGGGTCAGGCTGGAGGGCTGTGAGCACTGATGGAGCTGTGGGTGTCCCTGTGCACTGCAGCAGTGGGACCAGATGGCCTCTGGGAGTCCATCTGAACTCCAACCATTCCATGATTATCCCATCTCATGATGTGGTTTGATTCCTCTTCAACACAGGATGAAAATAGTCAAAGAAAGGGCACTGCCAGACATTGAAAACTATATGTTTGAGAACCATGACCAGCTCCGACAGGCAGCCACGGAATGCATGTGCAACCTGGTGGTCAGCAAGGAGGTAACTGCATCTCAGGTCTGGCTGTGTGCAGCAGCTCCTGAGGCACCTCGATGATGCGTTCACACTGCGTTGTCTCTGGATTCTGTGACTTTTTCCAGGTTCAGGAGCGGTTCGTGGCTGATGGAAATGACCGGCTGAAGCTGGTGGTGTTACTGTGTGGTGAGGATGATGAGAAGGTCCAGAAAGCAGCAGCAGGAACCCTGGCCATGCTTACAGCAGCACAAAAGAAACTCTGCTCAAAGATGACTGAAGTGGTAAGACATAAGCCTAATTACCAACAGCGTAGGCATAACCTTGAATGCTTCTCTTAAGGAAGATGCAGTCCATCAGCTGTCCAGTGAGGAACTTAGTGTGCATGCTCCTTGTTCATCCCACGGAAAGTAAAGCAACTTTTCTTAAGCCAGCTTCCAAGGCTTCATCTTAGAGATGAAACCATTAATCTATAGCTGTTCTTCAAGTGAAGCCCAGCATATAAGCTGTCAGGCAAGGTTAGGAATGCAATATTACACCCTTAGAGTTTGGTGGAGGTATTCTTCAGACCAGTACTAACAATATTTCCCTTCCTCGAAGACCACCCAGTGGCTTGAAATCCTGCAGAGGCTCTGCTTGCATGACAACATGGAAGTGCAGCACCGTGGACTGGTCATCGCTTTCAATTTAATCAGTGCCAGCAAAGAGCTGGCAAAGAAATTGGTGGAGTCAGAGCTCCTGGAGATCCTGACGTTTGTTGGCAAGCAAGAAGATGACCCCAAGAAGCAGCATGTAATTAACGCAGCACGTGACTGTCTCACAAAGTGCATGGATTACGGGCTGATCAAACCTCTCTCTCGAGCGTGAGGAAATGGAAAGTACCAGAGAGGGTTGGATGGGGAAAAAAACTTACTGAGAAACGTGAAGAACAGAGCGATGAAGAAAACCCCATCGCCAAGGCAAGGAATAGAGCTTGGGGAGAGTTTTGAGGGATTGGTGTTTGGAAAAGGGGGCATTTGCATGAGAAATTTAGAAAGCATCCATCTGAGCTCAAGATGGTGTAAATCCATTCATGACCCCCAGTCAGTTCTGCAACCATTCACGGCTCCTAGTACCACGGTAGCACCAGGCTTAATTGCCTCCCATCCAGTGGTCAGAACATAAATTGCGTGCTTTTCTTTGTGTTTTTAAATGGCTTTAAGCAGTGTGTAAGAGTGGAGGATGAACTCTTAATAAAGTCACTACTTTGCTCCACGTAGAACCTCTGCTGCTTTGCTTTAATCAAGCAAATGAATGGTCGAGGGCAATACTCAGTTGCAAAGTTACAAAACACAGAGCAACCTAGAATAACCAGTTTGTGGCACAAGCTAATTCACACCAGTTTCAAAATATCAAATGTGCAAAGATGTGAAAATCAGCTAGATGAAGAGGCAGCACTGATGACATAAACTGAGGTTCACACCAGAAACACACAGAGGGCCCAACAGGGAATACTGAAAACATCTGATGAAGGAAGAACAAGCAGCCACCACGCTGCAATTTTATTGTATAAATATCTGCATTCCTATCAATAGATTCTCTATGCATGCTATGCATAACACAAATAAAAGACTTGCTTTAGTCTGCAGCAGAACAGAAATCTAAGTGCACAGGAAATATGATATTCTGCAGTGATCTGAAAGCGCATTAAAATATTTCCAATCGTAGTGAGTGTTAGTGACATTTCTGTGATCAGCAGGGCATGATTAAATGATTGATGTGTGGAGGAAACAAGAAGGGAATCGTGCAGATAGTCTTCCCTAGTTAATGACTACTAGTTAATGACTCAGGAAAGAAGGAAGATGCCTCCAGCTTCCAGAAGCAAGAGAAGCAAGAACGTTTGCGCTAACAGATTTGACAGTCTGAGGCAAGTTTACTCCAAGGCTGATCCAGAGGGGTACTATGTCTTATTTTAACTATATCCAGTATAATCATTGGTGTCTTGTAAGCATAAAGGGAGAGTATTAGATTCTTCTTCCAAACCAGCTGAGCCACAGGCCATTCTATAGTGGAAAACAACATAACAACATGGAGGTCCGTGGTTTGTTTTCAACCAGCCTTCAATTTTGGATATCCAGTTTTAGGAATTTTGGATCTGCTCTTTGAAAGGATTTTGCATTTAAGAGTTTTGCCTAACTGGCATGTCTGAAACCAAGAAGTGCTACTGATACCTAAGGTCAGTAATGCAAAGCTGATACAACTAGGTGGTTCTAACTCATAGTGATTTGCTGAAGTTGAGTGGGAAGCTCTCTCATAAATGCTATTTCTGTGTATAATAGTTAAAACATGGACAGAAGGCTTCATTTTCTACTCCATTAGGTAGCTAAGAAAGTACTTCCTTAGGTACCGAACAAATAAGGTTACAATTTTGAATTCCTGAGCTACGCAGTAGATTTTTTATCAGAGCAGTACTATAGTGAGCTTTTTCTGTGTAACCAAGCTCACATAACAAGTGCATATTTAAATTAGCTCTGGATGCTACAGATACTAATATATTATTTAAAACCTCATGATGGTTGGGAAGGGGACAAGGAATAATAGCAAACACAATCTTTCTTTCTAAGCCAGAGAAACGACGGAAGCTGTCTAGAACGGTGCACTCCTCAGGCCCTTCACCCATTTGTTTTGGTAATATTTTTGATTCCCTCAATGCTTCTCCCAGTATTTCACTGTACATCATTACTACGTTAGTGTTGTAGCACAGAATAGCTATATCTTTCTCAGAGTAACCACTTCTAAGATAATGATGACAATGCTTTGCCACATACTCTGCTATTTCATAGCAGTTTTTCTTAGGTACTATTTCAAAGTTGCCTTGGACACCATGAGCACATGTGGCTGTACGTACCAACCTCTGTAAACGTGCTTCCAGAATACCGATTGCAGGATTCTCTACAATCTTTTCCATTATGTTCTTTAGACTGCAATAGATACTGCTAGCATTACGAACCACCTTGTTCAGCATCTCCACAGGATCATGCTGTTTTGGTGGTGGAAGACCAGTGGAGAAGCAGTGAGTTGTCTGCAAGTAGTCCAAGAAAATCCACAGAAAGCCAGGCTCAGAGTGCTCTGGTGAAGTCAAAGCCAATGCCTTTCCATACCAATCACCATCCTCATCTCGGAAATTCTGTGCTTCATCAATTATTATGTGCTTCACGTAACTATAATCGTTCTTCAAAAAGGTTACTCTTGTCACAGCTTGGCAGATGTTCTTCTTTCTACAGAAGAAATGCAAGAGGATTTAAAACAGTCTCTGTGCATGGTAAACTACAAGTTATACTCGATCAGAACAAAATAATGCTCGTGGTATTTAAATCACATTTATCGGTAGATATTAGGGATGTCAAGGAAAAAAAATGAACCTTACTAAAAATACATTCCAAATACACATTTTGAAAACTGCAATGGTGATGGACACCTGGCACACCAAATCTAACCAGTGCTCAGCTATTTCAAAAAGTGTTGGTCAAAGAACATATTGAAAAAATAACAAGAGTAAAGACTTACCTCACAAAATCTTTCAGAGGTTTGTTCTCACAAATGTAAAGAACCTCCTGTTGTTTGCATTTAAACATATTTCTTATTTTCTCTATGAGTTTGAGGGCCACAATAGTTTTTCCTGTTCCTGGTAGACCATAAACATACAGCTTCTTAGTTTTGTGGAGATTTTCTGACAGTAGCTGGAATTGTTCAATGGTCAAGAGGTTCAAAATCTCAAAGCCAACAGAGTCACTCAAGAAAGATTTGAAATTCAGCAAAACTATGATGAGAGAATGCAAGAGGTTTTTCAAGCTGACGCTGTCGATTGAGGCGTAGTTTTGAGGATACAGTTTTTGAACATTCAGATCCCATTCTTCTCCATAGTTAGAGCTGAGAGGCAAAGTCAGTAGCTTTGGTATTACACACAATTTGTGAGTATAACCTCCAGTGTTGACTAATTTCTCCTTCAGCCTCCAGGCTGTGCGTCGTGAGTAGTGAAATAAACCCTCAGAGAGATGTTTACCTACTGTATAGAGGATAGGTGGCCTGCCGTTGGCTACGAGGAGAGCGTCACAGATTATGTCTTGGTTTTCTGACAGGCCAACCTCAACAGCCCAGCTTCTGGAAAATATCACAACTCCTTCAGAAACATCCTTCAACTGTTCATCCATTAAACTCTTCAGCCCCGGGTGCTCTTGGAAGAGATCTTTACTGAGTTTTTCTGGAGTATATATTAGGCTGTGGGATTTCACTATCAATGCAGAGCACAAGAAATAGTTGGTGTTAATATAAAGTATAAAAATCCAGCCCTCTAAAATGATGCTGAGAAGATTCATACTGGTGGAAGACCACAAATACTGATCCTAGCTGCCTGAAAGCCCTTTTCATGTGTTTCTAGATTTATGTTTTTTTTTAATGCTGAGTTATCTGATGATGCAGTATTTACATTTCCTACCCAGGTCACAGTTCTTTTACTAAAGATGCCTGCACAGGGCCACCTTATTCCTGCCATGCTTAGTAAAACCAGCCTAGCAGACAAATTAACAAACAGCTCAATAGAAAAGCCCCTGGACACTTGGCTGATCTTGCAGTGCCACAGAAATTCTGCTCTCTTCCAGGCCCTGTCTTTTTACATATTTTGGGCTGATTCCAAGTGAACTTATCCTACTATCTTTCCCACTTCTCAGTAGACTGTGAAAAATTGGCACAGCCATGCTCTGTCCCCAGAGATGTTCAGCTAGCTGAGCTCCATCATATATACATGTTAATATCTGGGAGATATCAGCCCTTGGGGAAGGGGCACCAACCTTTGGATGCAGTGTTGCCATCAGATCTGCAAACCATTTCCATCTCCCTCACCTGTTTAAATACTTTCTTCAAACTCCTTGATCACATCCTTGGGATTCATCTTTAGACCTATCAGTCAGTGAAAGCAATGCGTATACCTACCTGGAAACAGTTGCTCACAGAGATCATCCAGGCTGTTAAGGCCCCGGTGTGAGTAAACTGACTTGGCACAGGGCGGCCCCCCTGTCACACTGAGCTCCAGCTTAAAGTTCTCAGAAAGTTGTGACAGATCTGGAAAAGAGAAATGAAAACATACTATAGCATGAGCTGTTGCTGCCCCTTAGTGCAAGGTGTACAAACCATCCTCATGCTGGTTTTAAACTTTTTATTCTTATTTAAAATAACAAATGTGATAAATAAACAGAAGGAGTGGACAACAGCTGATTAGCAGTGAATAGACTCCAGTTACGGATCATAGAGTTATTCTTGGTCTTCTTATCTCTAACTACTGTTGTGATCTCCAGCTCTATTAGTGATATTCCTTTCATTGCCCAAGAACTGGCCAATTAATAATCTCTGTCTACACCTTTCTGCCTGCCAAGCTGGTAGCCACACTGGAGAAAGACCCTGAAAGGCAGGAGGACCAAGACAGTTTGGACCGAATCCAACCTACAGAAAACCAAAGGAAATACCAAAATCAGGAGTGGATTATTCTGAGTCTTATGGACCTGGATCAGCAGAGGTCATCCACGCAGCCCATTCATTTCCTTTCAGTCTCCTGATAGTGCCTCCGTCGAACAGCCATGACTGCGGATCTTCTGCAAACACTACACAAGTGAATGGTTCAACCTTCACAGCACAGACATAGCCATAGTGCTCTACAGCCTCATTATACACTCCGAACATTTTGTATTCACACCTTATCTGGTGTTCACATCCACTTTTGCAGAAATGGAAGATGGTTAATTTTTCCTGATAAACATAATCAATTAGGTTTCTTAAATTTTTGAGGCCCTCATCATCACTTTTGAATCCCTGTACGACCCTGTTATCATCCACACCAATCCACAAATACCCGCCATGTGCATTTGCAAATCCAGAGATGTACTGAGGCAATATCTCTTTAACACGAGTGAAAAACTTTTCAGTGGAAAAATGCTTAAATTCTATGTTCCCTGACTCTGTGAAATTCAATGTCTCTCCACACTGCAGTTGGTCCCTATTAAACAATTCATCAACAGTGTTATTTACAATATGCATGTCTTCATCAGCAGCCATTGTCTTCCTTTTTTTAGCAGGTGCTCCTGTGCTATATTCTGCCCTAGCTTTATTTTGCTTTTCTTCAAGGAAAAGCAAAGCTTCAGTAGGGGTCATGTGGGAAAGAGAAGCACCACTTCTTGTGTACAACCCAGTACTGAGGCTACAGATACGTGGCTTTGCAGAGCTAGAGATTGAGGATATCTTTTCGCTGTTCCATGTTTTAATAAAAATCAAAAGGTTGTTATCCTGCTGTTTAAAGTCCAGGTATTTTGTCAAATCCGGAAATAAAAGAAGAGAACGAAAAATGTCTTGTAAATCCAGCCCAATATCATCTCTCTGTAAGTCGTAGTTTTCATTTTCTATCTCTGCTTTTACCACACCTCCTCCACAGTTTAGCAAGGCACACACTGCAGAGGCAAGGGTGTGTTTTTGATCTTGTTTCGAATTTTTTGGCATCTTTTTTCTTGCTTTCTCACCAAAGGTTATTTTTCCAACACACAAAACTAGTTCAGGGTACTGTGTTGCTTCATCAACCCACACCAGCGGCTGCAGCTGCAGGTCCTCAAGAGCCATTTTGGGCCTGGAACAATTGTTAAAAAAAACTGCTTACCATTTATGTCAAAACATCGCACTTCCAGATGCTCCCCCTAAAAAACATTACCTTAGCAGCAGCTACTCTCCAAACAGCAAATACAGAGATGAGAGATTAAACGAATTGTAATAATTTGTTCCTCCAAATGGGTCCCAATCCTCTGGGAGTTTTTGTGCTTCCTCCATGCCACCTCCCCTATTCTGAGTACAGCAGCCTGCAACAAAGCAGAGCAGCAGCACCCACTGCACAGCAGCAGGAGCTCCTACCGCTTCCAGAACAGAGAGCGTGCCTGAAATCCACAGACCACCATCTCTCTCTTCCCTTACATCCAGTCTCAGCCTCCTCTCTGTTACCTGGAAGCCATTTCCCCTTGTCCCATCACACAGACTTTAAGAGCCCATCTCCTTTCTCACAGCCCCTTTAGATACTGGAAGAAATCACAAGCGAGCAACTGTTAGTATAACTATTGTATCAAATCATGGTCAGACTTTTCCTTTAAAAGCACTTTCTGTTGAGCTGATGGGATGATTTTTATTTTTTGCTGCTGTTAGTTCCCTGTTTTTATTCACAGGAATACAGAAGCTCATCGCTCCCATTTCGAAAGAAAAAGCCGCTACGCCTCACAAGCTGGGCTCGCTCCTCAACGACGCAAGGCGGGAAAAGCTCGCACCAGCCCCTCGCCTTCCTATTGGCGAGCTCCTGAGTCAGTAGAACCGCGTGTTGCCATTGGATGGAGCCGGGGAGGGGGCGGGACGAATTGGTGAGTTCTTGGCCGCGTCGCGTCTCGGTGAGCGGGGCGCTGAGGGGAGCAGGCCGGACTCTGAGGAGCGGGGAAATGGCGGGAGGGCTGCAGAGGGCGCGAGGCGTCGGTAGGCGATTGGGGACTCAGAGGATGGGACCAGGGCCTGGCTGGCAGGGATGAGTGCGTGGAGGAGATGGGTGGCTTGGGGGGGAGGGTCGGGTTAAGATAGGCCTGGGGGTCCTTGGAGGGCTGCTGCGGGGTTCTGTGCAAGGGTTTTCCTCCGCCTGGTGCTGGGCCTTCCTGGCACCTCAGCTTATGGTTGCTGTATCTTACATGCAAAGCGTGCTTTAGCCTCTTAGCTGTAACAGTAAGCACTGCTAAGAAGACAGAAAATGCTGCTCCTTTTCCTTCTCCATTTCTCATTCGTCTTTGTCACACATGCAGCTGAACACACAAGCTCTATGAAGGAGTGAAAGCCAGCACACAGGTGGCACCAAGTACCACCTCACAGCACTGCTCTGTCAGGGAGTTGAGTATAAATAACTTTGAGTTACTTATTTATTAAATAAAAGTTATTTATTTGCGTTGAGTATAAGCAGGTAGACCTACAGTTATATACAGAAGGAAAAGTCAACTCACCCAGCTAGTGGAGGGGCTCTCTGGCTGTGCAGCACTCCTTCTCAAACAGCAGTCTAAGTCCAAAGGATGTTCTCCTTTCTCTAGCTAGCTCCAATATGTGCTACTTCTGGGTCCACCCCTTCCGATTATGTTGGGAGGACGTATGTGGGGAGATGTAATTTTTGCTTCATGAGTCAGCCACAACCCTTCCTTCAGTGTTCAGTCATTACATCCAGCCTTGGATTGACACGGTGGTGTTTTGTTTTTGTTTGTTTTTCTTTCTTCTTTTCTAGAAGCAAGCAAGCATCTGGAACTAGAACTTTTTCTGTGCTATTTTCTGATCTGGGAGCAGATTTCTCGTTGAATGGAAACAGATTTGCCCAAAGCAATGATGAGTGAAGTATTCTCTGAACTGGTATTGCTGAGACTTTTTGTCTTTGCTCTGACCAGGGCATGATCACGTAATCTTCTCTCTGAGCTTATTTAGGCTAAACTCTTCTAGAGCAAACAACTTTGCTGCTGCTTGAAATCCAAAACAATAGGAAAAAAAATCGTAGTTTTTTTTTTTTTTTTAGCAGTAGAAAAAATATTGATTTGAAAACTGGGTTGTGCAAATAGCTGTTTGGGTTTGTGTATCTTGCTGCAATATCATTTAGTACAGAGCTTGCAGTGAGAGACGTTTCTTGGCTTTTCTCCTACGTGTGGCCTGGCTTTCAGACCTCCAGGTGCTACAGCCTCTGTATCCTCTGCACTTGTAAATGCAATGTAGACTCTGTAAAATGGAGTTTGACACTTTTTCTGGTAAAGTACTCATCAGCAGTTGTTATCATCTAGTGATTGTTAGCACTAATGCAGCGAAACAGCATTTCTAGTTGTGAGCTCTGTTGTCAGGAGTGGCTCTGGTGCTCTGTTCTCATGCTGTCTGTTGGGTGTGAGATGGAGAGGAGCAGGTGAAGAAGTCTGCTTCTCTTCTGGTAGGGCTGAGGATGTTGCAGCTATTATTGTTAATGCAGCTATTAGAGAAAGAATATGCCTAATGTAGGATTCCCCTAGGCTGTTCATTGGAGATGGTTTTTATTACGTGTTGATTTTCAGAAAGATAATTACTGACAAGGTTTCAAATGACTTCTCGATGTCATGAGACCCCTCTAAAAGATTACCTGGGTTCTTAGGTACCTATTGAGGTACCCAGAAAAAATGACACTCAGAATGCCTGGTAGGTGCTGAGGGGGTTTTAATTTCTATTTTTGAAAACACTTTTTGTAACTTTTCACTGACGCCTGATTCAGTGGTTAGGAATTAGTGATGGGCTGTAGTGATCTGAATCCATGGGGCTGCAGAGGGATGAAGTGCAGCCCTTTCAGGGAGGAGAAGAGGCTGAGCTAATCAAACAAGTACAAGAAAATATATGGGGCCACTGTAATGCAGTTTTTTATTCTCTTCCAGGTTTTGGTGCCAGCTTTATGTTCGTTTCTCTCTGCTTGTGGAAAAGGAAGCTTCTATGGGGGATGTATCCAGGAGTACAGTTACAGTGATTCTCTTCTGAGGACAAATCACGTTGTTTCTGATGAGGAAGAATGGAAGGCAACTCAATTGTTAGTGCTTTTTCTTTTTTCTTTCTTTGTCTGGATTTGCTCAGAACGTGGCTTAGCTTTGCTGGGTGTTCTAAAAAAGATTTGCAAAGTCAAATTCTGACAACGACGTGCTGTGCAACTCCAGTGCCGCTGTTAACGTTGATGTAATTGTATTAATAATACCATGCACTGAGGATACTTTGGTTGTGACCATAGACCTCAGTTAATATGTAAACTCCAAGGTTGGTTTAATAAAGCTGGTGGTCCTTTACAAATAGATTTCTCGTCTGTCGTTAGACCTTATGGCAATTGCAACACAGTGGAAAAGCAGATAAAATGTAATATTTATGTAATTCTCATTAGTTTCACAGCTTTGTTTTAAAGCAAGAAACCTGAACAGATATTAATTTGTCTGTTAAGGACAGGCCAGTCAGAAGCAGTCAAAGTCAGGTTGGTATTCTTCAGCGACCTGCAGGAATGTTAAACATCTACCAGGTAACTGCTAGCCTGTCACTGCTGTGGGCTTAATGCCTGTTAGCCAGATAGGCATTAAAGAGCTGTTTAACATTCAGAAGAGTAATTAGAGCTGTTCAGACCTGGGAGGCTCACATGTGGGTGATTCTGTGCAGGAAGGATGGTACAGAATTTGCCCACGTAATTTGTGCAGCAAGTTTTGCTTCACGTCACAGAATCACAGAATGGCCGGGTTGGAAGGGACCTCAAGGATCATGAATCTCCAACGCCCCACCATGGGCAGGGCCACCAACCTCCCATTTAATACCAGACCAGGCTGCCCAGGGCCCCCACTAACCTGGCCTTGAACACCTCCAGGGACGGGGCATCCAAAATGTCTTAAAACATTAAAGTAATAGTTAATTCAAACCTAGGCATTAAAGATTCCCAGCACATGAAACACTTATCTTGTACCCACAACCCTCATCTGCGAAGATGAACTGCCAGCAAGCTTTTTCCAATCGTCAAAAATTTATTTGGATTCTCGATCAAGAAAGAATTTTGCTTTATAAAAGCAGGTAACAACAGAATCAGAGACTTATTTAACAATTAATTAATTGGCACAGCTGCTGCTTTAAGTTGCTTTGTCATTTCTCTCCCTTGTGGAGAAAAGGTATCCTCCCTCTTCTATCCCTGCTTACATTTCAACTCTTATTTCTATAAAGAGTCAGAGGTTTTAATTTAGAACCGTTGGTGGGAATGAAGGACGTCATTCAGAGGTGCTTAGGAGCAGACCTCCACGAGCAGCTCGAACCTTGAGCCCCTTTCATCGTTACTTTCTCCCCTTTGAGGGAGTCACAGAGCGGCGTCCAGCTGCCCGCAGTGCAGCACCACCCCGAATGCCCAGCCGCTGTCCTCAGAGATCTCTGAAGCGCAGCGCAGCTCTTTCAGCTCTCAGGAGAGTACAGTTTGACGAGGTGCTGGAGCTCCGTGGCGTAGCCAGTGACTGGGCAGCGCTGGTGAGTCTTCACATAATTATACACACAACGGTAGCAAAACACAAAGCCGGACGTGGACAGGGCTGTGGCGTTGACTCGGACTTTGTGGCACAGAGGGCACACTGTCTTCAGTTTGGGTAAGAGAGCTGAGCCCACCCCCTGGTCGAGATGCACAGGGGGTGGAGGAGTAGGGAGCGCTGTCAGAGATTTGATAGTTTCTTGGTTTTCAGAGGAGTACCACCAGTCCAGGAACTGCAGGAAGAACACGCATACAGACAGGCCGGTGGACAGCGAGAAGGCGATGCCACCCAAAGCCTTCCTCACTGCTGACTGCACTTGTGTTTTAATGCTGCAGGAGGGAGAGAAGAAACGGAGAAGTAATTAGCACTGTGCATTAGTGCATCTGCAAACTAACAGAGCTGGGGAGAAAAGCACTGCTTTATACAGCTTAACACTAAGCAGTGACATCAGGGCGTCTGGTGTTGGTAACAAAGTATCTGCTAGGATGTTTTTCTCAGATCTTTGTACACTAAGAAAGCTTCAGGTCATGCGCCAACTAAATTAGAAGAGTTTGGATTGAAGGGGCTGGGATCACAGATCGTTTCACTCATGGATCACTGTTTTACAGAACATCAAGCATCCATTTATCTTAGTTGCAGCTCACAGAAATCGAGCAGCTCAGTTTCCATCCTTTTAGCAGAATTGCTGCAGTCAACTTTCCTTGTTAGAGACATGTAGGTAACAACAGAACAGGATGGAGGTTGGAATGTAAAAAAAAACAAAACAAAACAATTTCATTACCACTAAGTCCTGTGAAGCTAATCCCTGCTACCTGTTTCCATATTTTCACTACTTATATTCCTTCTAGAGCATGTTTTGAGAGAAGGAAGCTTAATCTTGAAGGTCAGTAACACTCTGGAATGCAACTGCTGACATACCTGTGTGGTTGACTCGAGGCTGCTACAGGCAGTTTCTTCTCCAGGGCCTGGATATCCTCTGCAGTCAGTCTCACCAGGCGAACGCCAGCCAGTCGCAGCAAGGGGGAATGATGCTGAGCCTTCCCGAGGATGTAGCACAACTGCTGGATCAGAAACCAGCCCTCCCAGGCCATGTTTACAAAGGGGTAGGCGGCTAGAAAGGCTCGGTAAAAACGCTTCCAGGAGGATGATGGAGGATGGATGGAGTACTCATCCTCTTCCCTAAGGCTGGACACAAGCTTCTCTAGCTTTCCTTTTAGGTAAGGAACGAGAATCAGCAACAGGAGAGACTTCCAGTGCTGCTTCTTCGGCAGGCCAGCAGTGGCCAAAGGTTGCTGTTTGCAATCTCCTGTCGGTATCCTCTTTAAGCTATAAAAGTTCTCAGAAAAGGAGGCACTGCACCTGGCCAGGTAGTGCTGCTGGAGCAGAAAATCCAGAAGGACGTAGATCTCATCAAACCTGCGCCAGAGGAGGCCGTACCGGCCTGGATTAGACTCAGCAAGCACCTGCAGTGAAAGAGACACAGCAGGGATGGATCTGGTTGTGCTGTGAGTTACGCCAAACTGCTCTGGTAGCTTATGAGAACCACAGAATCATTAAGGTTGTAAGAGGCCTTTCAGGTCCCCAAGTCCAACCCCAGCCCACCGTGCCCACTGACCACAGCCCTCAGTGCCACATCTCCATGGTTCTGGAACACCTGCAGGGTCGGACTCCCCCAAGGGTGGGCAGCTGTGCTGAGAGGCAGCGGAGGTGAGGCCCGGTGGGTTTCCTGCCCTGAACTCCTTCCTTCAGGCCCTTACCTTGACCAGGTGCAGCAGGGCGGGCTTCACGGCCGCCATCAGGCTGTCCTGAGCCACCGCCTCGAAGATGGAGGGCCGGTCATCACCGGCCGCCTCGGCCGTCAGGTGGGCGCCCAGCTCCGCCATGCCGCTCGCCCCGGTCCGCCGCAAGGGGGCGCTGCGACTCCCACTCCGTTGCGGAAGCCGAGCGGGCGGCGCTCCACCTCCTTCCCTCGCCCTTCTATGGTGGAGGGGCGAGGCCGCTCTAGGCGGGGAGAGTTTTCTTCTCGCTCCTCGCGAGTCCTCCTGGCTGCTCCCTTCGCTTCCGGTTCCGGTTCTGCCACCGCCCCCGCCCCGCAGCGGTGTGTCCGTCCGTTCGTCCGTCCCAGCGTGAGTGGTGCCGGGACGTGGGGAGAGGCTGGAGGGGGTACTGGGAGGAGTTGGGAATTGGGAGGCAGCGGTGAGGCCCTGGGAAGGGGGTTGGGGAGAGGGCGAGAGGCACTGGTGAGGTGCTGGGAGGGGATGTGAGAACCGGGTTCTGGGTTAAGGTACTGGGTTGGGGGAGTGATCGCTGGTGGGGTGCTGGGGGCAGCTGGGAGCAGATGAGGGTGTTACTGGTGGGGTACTGGGAGTGCGTGGGGGCACTGATGAGACACTGGAAAGGGGTTTGGGGAGAGGCCGGGGGCGCTGGAGGGATGCTGGGAGGGCGTGTTTGGATGGAGTGGGGAGGAAATGTTGGGAGGTGTTACTAGGAGGGGGTGGTGGCACTGGGAGACACTGGGATTGGGTTGTGATCACAGGTGGGGCACTGGGAGCAGGTGATGGTCACAGCAGAGCTGGGCAGGAGGCCTGGGAGGCTAAGGTACTGCGAGGGACCTTGAAGGGACTGATGAGTCCTGGGGGCACTTGGCAGGGGTCGAGGCTGTGGAACTGGGAAGGAAGCAGGAATGGGAATTAGCAGAGAGAACTGCTGGAAGGTCTAGGGCTGCTCCTGCAGCTGGAGGGCATTGGGAGAGCCGTGGGAGGTGCTGGGTGTGAGGACTGGGTTCCTGCTGCCCACAGAGATTGGTGCCAGATGGGCAGAGTGCTCAGTCAGTGCTGCCCCTGTGCTGCCAGTTTGTTTTTCACTGGTCTGTCATGTTTAAATGTCGCACTGGTGTGTGCAGCATTAAGCATTGCCAGAACTTCTGGAGAAGTTCCTCTGTGTCTCTTCTTGTTGGCGCAGGGGTAGGAACAGGGGCCTCTTGCAGCTCAAACGCCTTGTAGCTGTTTCTGCTTTAGCAGATGGCGGTTGGACATGGATCTAGTAAGGAAAGGGTGACCAGCTTTAGATTTTCCCTAAAAATACAGGGCTATTTGTGACATTGTTGTACGTTCTTTAGTCTTTCCAGATTTAGGTTTGTGTACAAGGAGCTGGCATTTTCTTGAGTTATTTAAAAACATGGCTATTTGTAATGCTGGGCTGTTTTGATTTGGCCTTCAGCTGAGATTTGCTGTAAACCATGTGGAGTTGCCTTGGTATATGAGACAGACTCAGCACTGCTAGCAAGCTGTCTCTTAACAACGTGTGAAGCAGCTCTGCCGTAGATGAGGCACAAAATCTGTGTTCTCTGCTGTAAGAGAGCTGTTTTTCTTGAGCGTGGCAGTTTGCTGCTTATTGAGCTGAGTCTGATTTCTGTCTGTTTGAACGGAGGTGGTGAAGGCAGGTGATGAAGGCAGGTGCTGTGCTTGGTCTTATCTGGGCCCGAGTGGTTTTATCATTCTTTGTGTTACCAAATGTGATCTGAGGTCAGAAAAAAACAGCTGAATGTCCTGCTTTGGGATTTAAAGGTCAGTATCAAAATCCAGTGAGGGTTTTTTCCTGTGTGTAGCTTTATATAACTGGGATGATGTATGTGGTGGTGGTGTGTTGTTTTTTTTTCTCCTCCTGGATTTTCTCTATAATCTGCTCTTTTGGTCACTGTTAAGGCAACGTTGGACCAGCTCAGCTGAGAGATGTGCCCCAGGTTGACAGATCCACATATAATGCAACCAAGAACAGCATGGTGATGCTCAGTGCATTCTGTGTGGCATCCTGCCAAGTGCCCTTGTAGAGGAAAAACACTTAAGTGCTCTTTAAAGTTGGGCTGCAGTCGCAGGGACTGTGTCAGCAACAGGGTTGCTGAGCCTGGGCTGGGTTTGTGGTTACAAGAGGTATTGAGATGGGGCAGCAGGTTGTTTATCTGCTTGAACGAGGTAATGACTGCTCTGCCTCACTGAGCTGTGTGGCATGTTAAGGGTGATGGCCGTTGTGGGTGGGGAAAAAAGAAGATGCTGGTGGTGATGGGATTGGTTAAGGGATGAGGAAGGAAAGTGTTAAGAAACAGCGAGCTGGTTGCAGGGCTGGGCAGGGTCTTGGGCTTGTCCTGGTGCTGAGCCAGCACTGTGTGAACACTATGGAAGCAGACGGGCTGTGTTCAGGAGAAAAATTACTTGCTGGCTTTGCTGGTCACATTTAAGGTCATAGAGGTACATTTAAGAGGAGAGGAATTGAACAATAGGTAGAAAAGGATGGGGGGTGAATAGGAGAAAGCATGTTTTGGTTGTTTCTAGGGTCATGGATTCTTAGCACCCATGCAGACTGTTTCATCAAAAGCAGTAGATCTGCCCACTCCTCTGCTTGTTTGTCAGCCTGTACTTGAGAACTGTTTGAGCCGTGTTTGTCACAGAGCTGGCAATTGCAGGAATGAAATGATGGATCTGCACATATGTTTGGGCGATCCCTGTAATGTAACGTATTGCTAATTTGGTTCTGAGGAGCAGGGAAGTGCTGGTGGGACCACTCTCTGTGAAGCACTTGCTGGCCCAGCAGCATTTTTAAGTCCGGTTCACAGACATGCACAGCACTGAAATAATAGCCTCACATGAGTGTCAGAGGTGGGAGATCTTGGCAGAGAAAGATAACAATTTCAAGCTTGAGAGAGCTGGAAGGTAGAGGCTTTTCTTTTCAGCCTGTTGTCAGCTCCCCGTCCTGTCTGATTCTTATATTATTCTTTTCAGGTGTCTTAAGGAACTGGAGCCATGACGGACTCCAAATACTTCACGACCAATAAAAAAGGTTGGTGTTATGTGGGCATGGTGGATTGGAGGTGGCGGGGGGCTGTTTTTATATGGCTTTTTTTACTGCATGCAGAAGAACTCGTGCTTTTCCTTTAGCTCTGTCCCCGTTTCCCATCTTAATCGTCCAGGGAAAAACTTCAGAAGTAGGTCACATGGTGACAAAAGACAAAACTGATGTGATAGACAGATCTGTAGTGTGTTAACTGACCCATATTGATGCTGTTTTGAGCACCAGAGAATGACACATTAGGATTTGAGTGCAGTTATGATCAAAACCAATGATTTAGTTATGTGCTAACAAGTTCAGGACTGAGGATGGTTGTTCAGTTGGGCATCACAGGATTATGGTGATTGAGAAAGATTAATATTTAACATGGGTGCATACTTCTCTGCCTTAAGCTGACACAAAGGTAATGGGGTTTCCCACTGCTGCATCCTCCAAACCTGCAGTGAAATACATCTGTTTTCCCTGTGCTGCTTTTGACATTCCCTTGGCTTTACCCTATGTGCTGTGGTCACCTCTCCTCAGGAGAAACAGCAGCAGCTGAAGACTGGGGCTGTTTTACCCATTTACCTCTTGCTTTGCTGGAACAACCCCAGACAGATTTCTTTTTTTCCCCTGAACTAGTTCTTAAACAAAGCACTGTTTATCCTAGCTCTTGCTGGCTGTGATTTAAGCCTGATGTTGCTCATCGCCTCTCCCGGAGATGTAGAAAATGGTTCATATCAATCTCTCCTTTTCAGGATGGCTGAATGTTTCTAATGAATGCTTGCCAGTGAAAAATCGACAGCGTCGATCTATTTATGAGCTCGTTCTGAAGCTTAATGAAACATAAATTAAGCAAATGCAGTTTGCTCCTTTGTGAGGAGCAGCTCTGCCTGTAAGTTCAGTCCTAAAGTGTCAGCCAAGTGTGTCTGAGATGGCTGCAGGAGGCCAAGCTGTACCGAGCTGTGGTGAGCGAGCTGCTGCTGGCTGAGCACCGCTTGGGGCATCAGCTGTGTGAGCCATGCCCACTTTGCTTCCTTGGACTGGAGGCAGTGGTCACTGCACTGTTCTTCAGAGCGGGAAGCTCTTTTCTTCTTGAAGTCCGTGTTAGTCATCTTCTGCAATGGAAGCTGCTGCTCTGACAAAGTGGTATCAGTGGGTAAGAATTGAGAGTTAGGGGACAGGATGTGTTTTATCGAAGACGTTTTGGTGTTTGTAAGGAGGGTGTCCTTCTCAGCCTTTGGTTTCTGGTGTCATGCTGCTCCTTCCTGGGGAGTTGTCTGTCACCAAGGAGCCTTATCCCTCCCGCAGCTCTTGCTGTGTCTGGTGGAGGCCTGATAAGCTCCTTCTGTACTTTGCAAACTTGCTTTGCTGTTCTTGTGATCCAGCCTGAACTGACTTTCCAGCACTATGTGGAGAAATTCTTATTGTGGAAAAGGCTGCTATGTTGACTGCAGAAGCTGTTGTTGCTTTTGTTAGTGGGAGTCTGGTGTCACCAGACATCTTTTCATCTTAGTTATATAATGGTTGCCTCTGAGAAACAGGTACTACAGGGATGTGATTTGATGCTCTGGAAGTGGCAGAGCTGCAACATGCAGCGTGATTCTTGTTAACTGCTTTCTGGTAGCAAGGCATTGCCCATATCACTCTGAATGTTGCAACTTTGCTGCTGCTTGGACAGTGTTTTCCATAAAATCTGACTATTTCTATGAGCTGCTGCACTGGTTTCAGTGGAATAACAGGCCAGAAGAATAACAAGTCACTTTCATGCTGCCCCTAAAGCCAGACCTTTTTCTTCTCCAAGAAAGCTCAATCCTTTCTGTTTTCTCCCAGGAGAGATTTTTGAACTGAAGGCTGAACTCAATAATGAAAAGAAGGAGAAAAGGAAAGAAGCTGTGAAGAAGGTTATTGCAGCCATGACTGTGGGGAAGGACGTCAGGTAAAAGCAAATTTCTTCCACTTACAGCACTTCTGATTCCGCTGGGCCTCCCTTGGGTGTGCTGGGCACACTCCTCTATCATTACTTGTCATAGCATAAATTTACAACACACTTTAAAATGAGTGTTTTTAAAAGAGGACCCTTGAGATTTCATCATGGTGGCTAAAAGGTGTAGAATCATAAATGGCTTCAGTTGGAAGAGAACTCTAAATAT